AATCCCCCCACCCCCCCTCCCTCTTCCTGTCCAATCTTATGCCTCTAATTGCTTGTCTATTCATGTTGGTTAATGCCTACAATATACTATTAATAGTAGCAGAGACAGGAACAATACAGTGAATAGTAGTGGTGATAGAGACTGTACCCTGATTTTAGCCATTAAGTCTCTGATGCGTCCTCAAAAGTAAGAGGCTGGATGCTGACGAGTGAACTGATATGGATATATATGTATTTATGTTAAGGAAATATCCATTTTCCTATTTTACTATGGTTTTCAACTTTTTAATTTAATTGCTCAGAGCCATTTATAGTTCTTGGTTTTCATTTTGAGGAACTAGGGTTTAGGATATTTTGTTTATGTGGCTCTGAGCCAGGATATGAAGGGATATCAGGACTCTTGAGGAGTAGCACTTGCAGAATTATACTGCAGGGGCTTTTGAGGAACTAGTTCCAGTTTTTAGACTTGGGTTAGAATCTTGGCTTTGCCTGGGCATACATATTATTTTCATATATCCAAATGATTTCGGATAGAAATACAGAGAAAACGAATTTTCACTTTTACAGTCCATTTAAGGGAGCATTTAGCATGTGCTTTTGTATTTTTCAGGAACCCAATGGACATTTCCTATATGCAGACCAGCAGTTTATTTTTTTTTCTTTTATTTGTGCTTTTGACTACTCCTTGGTATTAAAGTATTTTAAATGATGGCAAACAGTCACTTCTGCAGGACAGTCTCAGAGTCAATAAACATAAGCACAATGGTCAGAATGTGTTGCTCATCTGCGCTTTGAGCAGCGTTTTCTTCTTTGACAACACCTCTCCTATAGAAGGAGCTCCAGTGCTCACATGTTCCATTAAATGCAACACTTAGCTTTGGGGCTGGCTGGACCTCAAACTATGCCTTGGACTTCTTGCTCTCAGCAAGTTGTACCCCACTAAATACCACATGGCATGACCCACTCCAGTCAACATTTTGTCCAAAGGTACCTTCCAAACAGAATTATATTAAAGGGAACACTTGTGCACTGTTGGTGAGATTATAAATTGGTACAACCACAATAGAAAACATTATGGAGGTTCCTCAAAAGGTTAAAAATAGAATTTCCATAAGATCCAGCAATTCCACTTCTGGGTATATATTCAGAGGAAATAAAGTCACTATCTTTTGTACTTTCCTGTTCATCGCAGCATTATTCACAGTAGCCAAGATACGGAAACAACCTAAGTGTCCATCAATAGGTGAATCAATAAAGAAAATGTCTGGGGAGTATTTGGGCTTCCTAGAAATGAAATAGAACCATTCACCCCATACTTATGAATTATTTATGCCAAAAAATGCAGGCTTGTACACTCTAATCATAAACATTAGATTTTCAGCCACACCTTACTCCCACAGGTGTTGTAATTTTAGATACTCCAAAGGGACCAAAATCCATGAAGGACCGAGTTTGCCTGTGACCCATGTACCCAAATAGACACTAGGAGACATGGATGCTGGAATGACAAGGTTGACCAATTCATGCAGACTGCATCCCAAATCTCCCTTCCTCAGAGGAAGGCACAGGGATCTATTATGTTCTTAAATGGTGGGACTGAAGGGAAGAATCAAAACCTCCCCTCCTGGATACTCTTTAGGACAAATTGACTCAACTGAAAGAGCAAGAGCAACCTCCTTCTTTGGCCTGTGTTTTGTGTCTGTATCCCCATCTTGATTCTGGGTTCTGTGGGGCTGTATCTGCGGTGCATTCACTTCTGTGCCACCCCCTCTCCCATCCCACTGTGGGTTCAGCCCAGCACCCATCTGAACAGAGTGGGTGTTCAGCCACTGCCTGTTAGGTGCAAAAGGAAGGAATTAATCATGATAGCTAGCATATGTAGTACTTACTCCATGCCAAGCACTTTACAATAATCCTAAAAAGTAGGTGCTATTATTATGAGGTCCATTTTGCAGATGAGGGAAGTGAAGCACAGAGAGGTCAAGAAACTTGTCTGCAGTCACACAGCAAAGCCAGGATTTGAACTGCACAGTCTGATTCAACTGGCCATATTCTTAAACACATCACTACCCCTAATCTCTGCATATTATGGTTTGGTAAAAGACATGGAGCAGATGGAGCCCTTGAGTGGCCCAGAGTGCCTCACAGTGAGTGAGCAGTGCTCAAGGAACATTTTAGGTGTTAAAGGAAGTGGTTGGGTCATTTGTCAAAATGAAAAGCTGAAGAGGACACTAATGTGGGTCTAGGAATGAGCCCAAAGCTCTAACTTCAAAGCTTGGGCTCAAAAACCAGCTTCTGGTTGACCTTTCAGATAATAAAGACAACTGGCAAATGGGCATGAAGGAAACATTCTTAGAAATTAATTGCCCATAGGATTCTCATGAGGAAATGAGGTAAGCAGTTAATTTGGGAACAAAGGGTTATTTTCAGTGGTATTTACGGTGGGTCCCAAGGTGCCTAAGGCCACTGGGGCTTGGGAGGTCCATGCACCATGGCTCTTGGCTTTGAGAAGCTCCTAGTGAAATGGGAAGATGCAGGTCCACCTTCTATGCAGATGTTGGCCATGGGCCGTCAGTCCCAGCCCGTGGAGGGCCGCTTGGTGTCCCCCATTGTGTGTCGGGCCAGCTATGACCTGGAGAGGAGCATTCTGGTGAGATGGTTTCTGGCTGGACGAGCCAAGTCCCCTTCTGGCTGAGGGACCAGCCCCTGGCTTTGTGTTTCTCTGGTACATCATGAGTGCCGCAGTGAAGGGCACCAGAGGCCAGCTGAGCAGCAGGAACAATCGTTCCTTATGGGGAGCTGCCACCTCCAGTGCCCTATGCTCCTGTTGAGCTACGAGCAAGTTCCAAGTAATTAAGTCGATTGGGTTCTAATGCCCTTGTGACCATCAGCTTGGACATCCTCTGCTGAGAGCTCCTGGCATGTCCTATCGCTGTCTTGGCAGGCAGACTAGCACTGGAGGGTGCCCCTGTCCTGGCGTCCACTCTGCCTAGAGGGGACTGATGAGGGAGGCGACTCAACACGTTCAGAAGTTCTTGTATATGGGGAGGTGATTACTCTCTTTTGAAATCGGTGTTTGCTGCCAATCACAGCTTTCACGGTGCTAGGCCTTTCGTGGCAACCAAAAGCCTCTCTGGAAATAAAATGTCACGTTTCTTTTGCATTTCTACTGTAATGACACAGGAAACTTGTTTTTCCTTTTTAACTTAACATGATAACTGGGGTTGACTAAAAGAGTGCAGAGGTATGCGCAGCATGTGTGGGTAAGCGGGTGCTCTATAGGGTGTCTCTTTATAGGGTGTCTCTGTGGCCCCAACCTTCAGGAGTTTCCAGCCCAATCACACAGAATAGAGCCCCGGTTTGGGGGGAGAGTCCAAGTCACATGCCACAACCCCCAGAGAACCAAAGATCTTATAGTCACGATCATCCAGAGACCATCTGGCCCAGCCCTGATCTAGATTATGCAGGTTCCTGGTCAAGGTGGAAGTTACAAACACACAGTCAATTTATACGTATGCCATTCATCATTCTAGGAACTGACACACCTTATGCACAGGGTGGAGCCTGTCTCACTGAGCTGGGATGGGGCTGACATTCAGTGCCTACCATGCAACAGATTTATAACCGTAGTTGACAACAGTGATAACGTTCGCGCACACCCCTCTTCAAGGCTTTGTGTTTCCTAAAGGCATTTTCTGAGCCTTGTCCCCTGTGGGCTGGCTTCTGCTGGGGAATGCTTCCCAGACATGGAAATATACCTCTCATCAGAATCAGGAGGCTGCTTGTAGAGCAGGGCGCCTCTCCCCAGGAGGCGATATACAGGGGCCAACAGTGAGGAATGGAGACTCATCTGTCCATTGCCAGAGGAAAAGGGTAGAGGCCAGTGCCTCTCTCAGACAAGGACTCGATGCAGGGGAACCAGATCTTATTCGGGTCATCACCAAGATTCTTCCAGTTAAACTCTCTGTACTTCACATCTCTTGAGACTCTGTTTTGTTTTCCTTTTAACTTCAGTATGGAACCAAAGAGAGCCAATATCGATTAAATGTTAGTTCAATGAGTGTTTATTGCACACCACTTATTTGAGGGTTGTCCCTGCATGGGCCCACAGGACACCATGTGCATCTGAATTCCTCCCTGCCTGGAGCTTTTCTCAATGCAGTGTTGCCAAGAAAGAGGGGGCAGAGGTTGTGGACAACAGCAGAAGTAGGCACAGCTGAGGGGTGCCTTAACCCAGCCAGGTGCCCTCACCTGAGCCTAGTTGTGAAGGCCAAGTAGGGGTTAACCAGGTGTTGGAGAAAGAAGAGAGATGAGGACATTAAGGGAACCCAGAGGCTCCGTACACGTGGGAAGTGAGCCTGACGGAAGCTGGTAAAGGGACACTAATCTTGGATGCTCTTTGTTTCGTCCAAGGAAGATAGGATGACTTTGCCCTGGGATTGTGAGCAGTGTCACAAGCTTAGGAGGCTTGGCAGGAGTCCTCTCCCTAGGATGGCTATTTCTAACTCTGGCCCCACTTTGTTTCTGTGGCTCGGCTGATGTCCAAAGCAAGGCAACAAATTATACTGGCAAGGTGCTGGGCTTTCTTGCAAGCTGCAGTCCTGTTGGATGCTCTATAGCTCTGTCCACATAGCTTACACTCCAGCAAAGCCCACGGGAGTGTGAACGGAAAAGTACCTGTCAATATATTAAGGCTGGTTCCAAAGACACGGTATTGGTTTGTTGCGTAATACCCCCCGGGGACACCGAGGCCTTATTAATAACGAAACATCTGTCACAACTGTAATTATTTTTCTTGTGCCAGGATTGTGCTTCTACCGTCATCCTGTTTAAACACAGAAGGGAGGGTGTGAATTATTTAGGCAACCGACTTTGAGTAAATCACCAACCAGCACTGTGCAGGCAGTAAGTTTCTGTCAACTCCTTGCAGAGTGTGTGTCTCCGTTGAAGTTCCCTTGATGTGCTCACAAATCTCTCTGAAAACATCGCTCTGGACCTCCGATGCGGCTGCCCGAGCAACCTGGAGAGAGGAAGCCTCAGAATGAGGAGAAGGGGGGCAGAGGAGCCCCTGGAGGGGGAGAGGAGCCGCCGAGGAGCCAGGCCCCCGACTTCCCCACTTGGCAAGTCTTCTCCCCCCAAACCCCCCGGAGAAAGCGCTTTCTCAAGTGTTTGCTCAGGACTTGATTGTTTTCAGCCCTCAGGTAGGGGGTGGTGCGGGGGCTGGGAGCCTTTGCTGCTGAGTGTCCGAGTGTGGGGGGCGGGGAGAGAGGAGGCCCTCTGGACAGGACACCTGGGAGGGGTCCTGAGAGGATGGGTGTCCCAACTGGGTACAGAGATTATACTGTACATCTTGAACCTGGCAGGTTTCCATTGACTGTATCTGGGATGTGCGGATGGGGCAAGGGGATGGGTTTGAAAACTGACCTTATCAGGGACTGATTAGGTTAGGGGGTGCTTGTCAGGAGAAACGGCAGCCGATATCATTTATAGAGTGCGTACCATGTGGCAGCATGGGAGGAGAAGCTTGGCAAAGATAATCTCAATGAATCTTCCTGATAACTCCAGGGGAGGGGTTATTAACCCCGTTTTTACAGGAGAAAAGTAAGACAGACATTCAACAACTTGCTCCAGATGGCACAGGCAAAGGTAAACCCAGGACTCCCGTCCAAATGTCTCTGAATCCAAAACTTACATTTGTAACCACTGGCTTACCTGCCTCTCCCCACTTACAGGTGAGGGGGTCAGTTCAAGGGGAGGGACTTTGTGTGCTCCAAGCCACAGGCTTCCTGGGGTTCCATTCTGCTCTCTTTCTCTTCCTCGGAAACATTCAAGGATGTAAAAACTCAAGAGGAATTTCAACTCTAGGTGGTTTTGTAGGGAGGGGAATTTTGATCTATGTGATGCTGGTGTTGACGAGTTGGTCTGTGGTGAGTCATATAATTGGATATGTTCTGAAATGGTCACCCTAAGGCTGTTTGGAATGGGCTCTCCAGCCGTCTCTGCCACCAGCTGCCAGGAGTGGCCAAAAGGGTCTATGGCTGAGTCTATGGTTGGGCTGCAGGGGATAAAAAGGAAGTGGGAATATTTCGGGTGACCACAGCTCCTGATTTTCAGTAATTTCTCCCAGGTGCTGGGGGCTAGACTGCAGGGCCCAGGACAGAATGCTGTAAGACTCTATCCGGAACCTTCTCCAACACAACTCATTGTTTGGGAAATCAAAGCTGGGAGCTGACAAGACCCTTGGCCAAGGGCATGGTAGGCTGAAGGGCAGGCTTGGAGGGTTGGTTCAGGAGGGTTGGCCAGGGGTGGGAGGATGACCTGGGCTGGGCCTCCCCATCCCACCTCACCCCTTCCAGGAGAGGAGCCACAAGAGGAGGAATGGTCCAGTCCAAGGGTGAATTTTCTGGTTGGCCTTTGCTCAGACTGGGGTAAGTGATAGAATCCTGGGTGCTTGCCCTGAGAAAGTGGGGGGGGGGCATGTTGCGGGAAGGAAGTCAGGACTGGAACAGAGAAACATTTCTGCATGTCCTGTGTGGGCTGTGGCAAATGGCAAATGTGGCTGATGCTACAGAGGAAAAGGACAGTTGTCTACCCTACTAGATATGAAGCTATCATACAGGAAGCAACAAAGAAGTCTGATGGAGTCAGCCCATTTTCGCTCAACATATTCCCACATGAAAAATATTTCCTCATTTGTTCCTGTGGCTTTAGGATTTAGAATTTTTTAGCCAGAATTTTGATGGGCATGAATTAGACGGTTTAGTTTCACTTGTCTCCAGGGGCAGCGGTACCCCAAGTGGAACGAACCTGCTTCTCTCATGCCATCTCCTTGGGGGTTGGCATTAATTCTTTTTGGACCCCAGGCTGCGGGTCTCTGTGGCTCCAGGATTGTTCCCATCACGCATTCACACCCAGGCCCACCACAAACACACATTTGCTTACTCTTTCCTTGGGGGCATACCTACACACTTCTCGAAGATTTCCTTACGCAACGGGCAGAGCAAGATAGTTAAAAAGAAGGATGAGGTGGGGCCATGGGAGTGGGTTCCATTGTCAAGGTCTCAGCACAAAGGTTGGGCATGGAGGGGAAGGGAACATGGTCCACTGGAACATGTTCTCACATCAGTCCCCAGCAGTGAAGACTTGCAGAGCACATTGTCCTTTGTTCCTTAGCTAGGAACATCCTCCAGAGAGTACAGTACTGGGGCTAGCTTACAGAGTATCAGGAGCCTCCTCAGACCCTGAAGCATGCTGGGTGGTGGCCCATGTGGTTATACCTGATACAGGCAGAGTAGGCAAAATTATAAAGTAGGGAGGCATCTCCTTGATGTGTCCCATCTACCTGCCCCAGGTCATTCTCACACCTCCTGGTACCATTTTGGTTGCAAAGTAACAGAAATCAAGTAGTGCTCTCCTAAATGAAAAGAGGAACATGTTTGGAAGACTTCAGGCAGGGGTTGGGGGCGCAGGGGTTGCCTCATAGAATCCAAGGCCTCAGAGGTGGCTGGTGTGAGGGCCTAGGGTGATACAGAAAACCCGAGAAAGCTGCTTCTCTCTGCCTGTCTACATCTCCAGTTTCTCTGTCCATATGAAAATTATCCTTGCCAGATCGCTGCCAACTTGGCAGCCAGCCTGAGTTGAGAGTCAGTATGGGCTCAATTCCAATCTCCCTGGACATAGGCTCATCGCTGTCCACTCCTGATCAACTCAACAGTCCAGGGGAGGAGAGGCAGAGGGTGTGAACATGGCTGCTTCCACTATAAATACATGGATGGAAGAACAAGGCAATGACCAGAGAAGTGTATACCTTGTCAACCCAGTGCCTCGAGATATTGGTTTTTGTATCCCATTCTTGAAGTTGGCTGGCTATCCATTAAGTGCTGGTAAGGTGCTTGCTATTAATGCTCTAAGCTGGAGCATTTAAAAGAAAGTGGTCCCTAGAGGAGACAATTATCACTGATGGAACAAAAGCAATGAGGTAGATAAAGCTGGCTTGGGGCACTAAGTGCAGTGTGGAAAGACATCCTATGTAGATGGCAGGGACTGGGGAAGTAGGGGACCCCCTCTTTACCCACCCCCAGTCTTTCTCCCAGATCGCCTCCTGAAATTTACAAAAGAATTCCACAGACTACCTATTCCTGTCTTTGTCAAGGTGTGGGTAGACTTTCCCTTGACATACCTGAAGGAGATGACCTATAGATGGGGACCTCCTTCACTTCTACTTCATTTCTTTGAGTCTTGCAAGGGTACAAGCCATGAAGACCTGGCTTGTCTCTCCTCAGTCTGGAAGTCTGAGGAGATGTTCTTCCCCTTTCGTCCAGACTATGGGATCTGGGTCTTCAGGCCAGGTCTAGAGCTGACTCATGGATAGTCAGTAGGCCCAGAAGGCCGGCTGGAAGAGAGTCCCCAGGAACAGAGGGATGCCCAGGTGGCTTCAACAATGACAGCTAAGTAGACAGCCCTACTACTGTGGTGCTGTCCCAACCCAATCTGAAGGAAGCTTTTCTAATACGGGAAGAAATGGATGTGCACTCTTGATATATGAACTAAAAATAGCCCATGTTCCAAACAAAGTGTTTTTAGTATTTTGAAATGAAAACGTGTAGACAAAGCAAGGATTCAGAGTGCATGACTCATTAAATTGCTGACTCTGAAAGCAATGGAAATTCAAAGGGAATGTTTCTTTCCCTATTTCTCCCTCCCACCCTTGCTTTGAATAGCTTATAAAAAGAGTCTCTACATAAACAGGACCCATAAACTCCTCCATGATTTAAGGTCCTGCACAGTGAGAGGCAGAAGGAACTCAACCTCCATTGCTTGGTTACTAAGCTGGCCTCCCTATAGCTGGGCTGGAATTGACCAGAGGCCTCCCCACTCCCCCAGGCTGCCCGTCCGCATTTTCCTCCTCATCCTCTCTGCCCTGTCCGTAACAGGTGTCCAGGGAATTACATAGCCCCTCTATGGCCACAGCTTCCCCCTCTCCTGGGCTCCAGGCTCTGCTGGATCTCAACAGCACTCAATTCCTCAGCCCTAACAAGGATGCCTCATCGCCAGCAATAGCTCTAGGGGTGTCTTAGGGGAGAGTGCATATCATATGGCACCCTAATGGGATGCAGCTGTGGCACCTCTATCAACTCACTGGATGGTCTTGGGCTCATTGTGGGGTTGGGAAGGGTTGGGCCTCATCAGTTGTGTTCAGTTTTTTTGCTCACAAAAACCTTTCTAAAAATAAGTCTTATGGGGAATCTCAGTACTTAAAACAGAGAAGAGGACCCATTCTCATTGCAGCAAGGTGTGTGTGTGTGTGTGTGTGTGTGCGTGTGTGTGCGTGCGTGTGTGCACGCACACACTTGGGAGAATGGGGAGGTCCTCCAGGACCCCTGAGATGAACAGGGATGCGTTACCCCTAAAGAGGCTGTTGGGAGACCTCTAATTCACAAACTCTTAAGAGTTATGTAAAAATCTCACCTCCACTCACTCCTAGTTGCCATCACCTGCTTTACTTTTGATCGTCACCATGCTTCTTGAATACCTTAGCAGCTTGTTGGCAGCTTGTTGAGTCTTATATCTGTCCTGAGTCCTGATGTCATATGAGGAAACTAAGATGACCCTTGGATTACCAGTCAACATTTTCACCTCATGTTGCCTCAACTTCAACTCCAGTGACTTTCCTCCTCTCAGCCTTCACTCCCATGGCCTCAGCCATCATCTTGTCACCTTCAGGAACACCTCACCTCTGAGAGCTCCCATGGAGTACTCCTCTCTTCGACAACCTGCTTTATAGCCCTTTGCTATTGCTGTTCCTACTTCAGGATGTGGAGTACTCTGAGAGAAAATCCTCCATGGATTATGGGGTCTGGGTGAGTGACCTTACCCACGCACAACCTTCAAACCCAGCGGGGCCTCGTGTAGCTCAGGGGTTCTTCTAGTGGTCAGGTCCTCTCCCCATTCTCCACCATGACTGTTTCAACCCCTATCCCCTCTTCTAAAAATAATGTCACTTCCTCCCTCACAAATAAAACAAAGCTCCCAGGAAGAAACTTCTTCAACCTCCTGCCCACTCTTCTGTCACCTATTCTGCGTTCATGTTCATTTTCCTCCTCCCTGCCCATCATAGTGG